GTTATGATCATCCGGCAAGAGTCTTGACGCCTGATGGGTCAAGTCTTGAACATCTTCTAGAGCTCCTTCCGTTAAGCTCCCGTCCTCGTCCAAGTTGCTAGCTCCGATGTCCTCATCATTCCCTCCCCCTTGAGAAGGTTTTGTCCTCAAAACATGCTTACCTACATCAAACGGGTCCAAGTCAGCATCGTTAAATACGTAAGTCAAATTTTTCATACCTTGATTGCGGGTTTTGTCGAGATATTCGCCAAGTGTATGAAGATTTTGTTCTCGCGCTTCTCCTCGTTCAAAAGGTTCATCCTTCTTGATTGTCCTTGGGTTTAAGATGGTGTTACGCCTTGAGGCGTTCATGGTGCAATGGTAGACGCATTTGGCTCCTTGAGCGCTGATGAACCGTGGAGGCACACATGTGGGATTCGTCGGACTCTTCTCGTCGTCCATGCACGAAATCTGCAATGTAGTACCAATTCCTTGATCATAGACAAGAATAAAGAGTAAAACGATGTTACCGCGTAAGCTTCTCGTATCAAGGTGGGCAAGCTGCATATATTCGCTTAAGTCGTTGAATGGTCTCTTTGGGATTTTGCCGGTAGATGTCAAAACTTTCTTTGTAACAATCCCTACTTCCTTCACATTCAGAACCTGCGAACTTCGATAAACTTCTAGGGGAACAATTTTGTTAGTGTGCTCCTTGAAATGCTCGCAAGAATATTCCTTTTGAAACTTTGCCATTATTTCTTCATGTTCCCATATATTCTCAACCAAGTATGAATCATAAACAAGAATAAAAATAGGAATAAATTTACCGGTTTTTGCTCCAAGTTCTTGACTTATGATCCAAGTACGGTTGTTGGAGGTGTCATTTATCTTTGTCGATGGGTTGATCAGGATTTTTAAATCCTCATTTCGTGTAACCACTTCTAAAGCATCTATTCTGATGCCATGTAGCTCTTCATCGACATTGATCACACTTTTGAGTACTTCATTGAGCACGAGATCGGAATCCTTAATCGTTTCTTTTTCTTTGGTTACATGTTCGGTTACCGCTTTGGATGTAACATCGGATTCATCTTCAAGGTTCCTTACATCAGCCTTGTATGTCCCGCCATGTGTAGGTGTTTGTGCTCGTATGCATTCATCCTTGGCATTTTGCCGCTCTTCATTCACATTTGCCAAACTTTTGGGTTTTATTTCCCTCACAAAGCCAGGGTTCTCGACCGTTTCTTTCCTTTCGGTCACGCTCTTGTTCTCCTTGTCGGATGGAGCTTCGAAATCTTCCTCAAGGTGTCTCCCCACAGCCATCGCGATTGAGTTATATACCCCGTTATCCTTGATGCTCACCTCTTATCGGGTGGAGCTTCCACTGGGCAAATGACTTTGGTTCCTACACTCTGAACACGGAATGCTCACCTCTTATCGGGTGGAACTTCCATTGGGTAAATGACTTTGGTTCCTACACTCCGAACACAAAACCTCACAAGTATAATGAGTACACGAGGAAGAAGTTTTGTTACCTCGTGTGTGGACTTCTCTTGTATATAAGATAGTTTCGTCCTTTCGAGCATCAAGATTTTGCGCCTTGATTGGGTCTCCGGTATCGGAAAAGTTTCTGTGTATAAGCGTTGGCGTTGGCATTCGTTGGCACCCATTCTTTGACGGCTTCTTGTTCATTTGTCGCTCTACTTGAATTGTCGTATGCACAAGATGTCTCAAGTCACGATATCCGTGTGGGTTTACCTTTCTAGCGATTCGGTCTTTCAAGCCCTCTAGAAAGTGTGCCATGAGATCTTCTTCATTGTCCTCGATTCTCAAGTAAGCAAGGAGTTGTTCAAATTCTCCAAAATAGTCCTCAACCGCCTTGTCTCCCTGCACGATGTTATCAAATCTATATTGTAATTCACGAAGAAAATGTCGAGATACATACCTTTTTCGCATGAGGATTTTCATCTCCTTCCAAGTGGAAACCGGTTCATAATGTGCACGTCGTCGATTTCGTTCTTCTCGTTCCCACCACATGATGGCATCTTCGGCAAGATGGGCAGCCACATAGTGAATCTTCCTTCGGTTCGTCAAGGAATAACATTCGAAATTGGCATCCATTTGGCGCTCCCACTCAAGATAAACCTCGGACTCCTCCTTTCCAGTAAACACGAAAGGTTTGAACTTTGGATCAGCCCTCTCATCACGAGTTGGTCGACGATATTCTCGGTCATATGGATCCTTGAATCGGCCATCATCGAGGGGTTCATGGTGAGGCCTCTTTAGATTTTTAGGCATGGGTCTCTTCCCCTCACTTTGTTTGTTTAGCTCCCTAGCAGATTGCACGGGTTCGCTCACCTCCTCAAGTCGTGTGAGACGATCTTGAATCTGCTGGATCATCCTATAAACCGAACTGTCACTGGATACGTTTGCCATTGATACTGAGAAAGTAAGGCACGGTATATGCAAGTAACAAAACGTGCAGCACTAAGACCGAACAAATATAGCAGAAACGTTCAACGTGCAACAATGTCATGTACAAGCTAAAACATGCACTTCACGCAACAAGTAACGTTTTGGTTCCTAAACAGTTTCAGAAGTACTTAGATGTTTTCAATCTGTTTCTAAGCTCAATTATGGAACACAAAAAGTCTCTCAACTAACAATTTACCCAGATTCGTGCTTGGTACCTCTTGCCAAAAGAACAATTCGGAAACGAACAACAACCACTCAACAATACGATCGGTAATGACACAAATGCAAACAGATTTCGAAATGATCAAAGTGAATGAAAGGAACAATACAACCGTGGGGGAAGGCTGTGATTCAGGACGCCGAAGAGCCTTTCCAAGTCGTGACCCTAATCGATCTCCTGCAAGACACGAAATAGGTTGTTAAGTTTGATTGCAATGAGATGTAATCGTCGGATGTTCTTCAGTCAGATTACGAGCATTGTTTCGAGGTGTAAAAATTGAAATTTCAACCAAAGCGACCTATGGTTGGATTCGTCTTTGAAAGAGGAAGAGTTTGACATATGGCTCGATAAATAATTCAAAGTTTAGCACAATCAAAACAGTCAAATACTGATGATATGTCAAGCTGATGAAACTAGAAGTTAAGAACGAAATTAGAACCGAAGCGAGAAGCAAGGAGCGATCTCACCGGGGAATTTCGGCCGTAGGATCAAGCAGTTCTGATACCAAAATGATGTACGCACGAGGAGGATGGGGCAGGGGAGTTCAACCGCAATCACCGGCTCACGGAAGGGGCTCTCGAATTCACGGAGGGACAAGGGGGCTCAGAAACGTTTCAAAGGAATGGAGGTGGTAATCGTAGGATAGGGGCGCGTCGGACACACCGAACGCAATCTCCTCGGACACACCGAAGAAGTCTCTCGGACACACCGAAGAGAAGAGGCCTCGGACACACCAAGACACAAAGATAATCTCGACACTTTGAGTGGAGAAAGAGAACAAAGGTTCTACAATTTTTGATTGATGAAAATCTGGTCACAAAATGAAAAGAAAGGAGTTTAAATAACAACAATTGTCAACAAAGACATAAATGCTAAACAACATGCAGCCCACGTGCATTAATGGTGAGTAGGTGGTAGAAAAGAGCTGTTGGGAAAGCTCCTTCCTTTGGGCTGCTGATGGGCTGGACCGTAGGCCTTCTTCTTGGACCGAAAATTGATTAAGGCCGTGTTCTAGGCCTTAGACAATTTGGACTTAATGTTGAAATTGTTTCGGGTCACTTCTCGTCCGAATAATGATGCATCATTGTTGTCGTGAATCCGGAATCCGTGAAGAACTTTGAGTGACAGCCTTGGTTAGTGTGACATGAAGGGCTCGAGCTCTAGCACGAGTGAGGTGAGGCTCGGTTCTATGGCTTGCTCGTTGAGCCATCGCGTGGTGCACATCACTTCCCGTTCTTGCGGCTTCGAATGATCGTGTAACGTGTTGATCATTCGGAACTTCTCCCGGCACCTGAGAGGCCGAGTCTTCATCATCCCGGAGAGCTCCTTCCGTTAAGCTCCCATCCTCATCCGCTTGTCCTCATCAGCATGTAAACGCTGTTGAGCTGAGGAGTGGAAAGAATCTGCCAGAGACGGTCCCTGCGGAAAAAGGGACGACATCTAGATACACTGCAGAAGAGAAAGGAAAAGCCATAGCAGATGAGGCACCTCGGGTGAATGCAGAGGAAGCCGAAACGCCATACGTCGCTCCTCCACCTAAGGTACCACCTGTTCCTTTTCCTTCTCGATTGAAGAAGCATGTTGAGGATACACAGTTCTCGAGATTTGCTGATATGCTTCAGAAGCTAGAGGTTACTATACCGTTCTATGAGGCTATGCTGCAGATACCCTCTTATTCGAAGTTTCCGAAAGACATCTTGACCAAGAAGAGGGTAATTGGGAAGGAGACAGTGGTCTTGAGCACAGAGGTGAGCGCTGCGATTCTACAGCATGAGTTGCCACGGAAGAGATCAGATCCTGGTAGTTTTTCGATTCCCTGCAAAATCGGAAACAATGCGATAGACCGTGCATTGTGCGACCTTGGTGCTAGCATCAGTTTACTATCGTTGTCCATTTACAAGAAGCTTAATATTGGTGAGCTTAAGCCGACACGGATGGCGCTACAGCTAGCGGATCGATCCGTCAAATATCCTGTAGATATTCTCGAGGATGTCCCATTGAAAGTCGGGGATTATTATGTTCCCGTTGATTTTGTTGTTTTAGACATGGACGAGGACTCGAAGATACCGATTATTTTGGATCGACCGTTTCTGAACACGGCTGATGCGGTTGTACATGTCTGAGCTGGTCGTCGTACCATGAAGATAGGTGACGAGACTGTTGAGTTCACCTTAGATCACAATATGAAGTAGCCATCCACTACCGATTCAGCGTGTTATGTTGATGTACACGAGATCTTGACGCAGGAGATCTTCGATCAGTTCCGAGACATTGATCCACTTGAAATATCCCTCCTGGCATCAGATGCGAGTATATACAGCAATTGGGAGGATATTCGGGAGCTCACACAGGCGTTAGATGATGAAACCGAGGAGAAATTCGAGCTTCTGTATTCTGACTCGACTGAGTCAGTACTTGACTCGGACAGAGTCAGATCGCTGGACCACTTCGAAACTTTGTTAGCTTCAGACTCGGTGTCGCAGAGTTCTAACTCGACCGAGTCAAGTGTTGCCTCGGACTTCCTTCGTTCTAACTCGGACCGAGTCAGTTCTCTGAGCCCCACCACCGACACCGAGCCAGCCCGGAACGTCTTGAACTCTCCACGATGACTATTAAAGACGTTCTAGAGCCTAGAGAGCCACCACTTAGCACGGGGACGCTGAATAAAGCGGATTGGAGTTTAGAGAACGCCCCGAAGGTGGAGATGAAGCCCTTACCCGAAGGTCTCAGGTATGTTTTCCTTGGACCTAACTCGACTTATCCGATTATAGTGAATGTTGCGTTGCTAGAACCCCAGGTAGAACAGTTGAGTGATTTACTTAGACGTTATAGGGGTGTTCTTGGATATACTTTGGATGATATTAAGGGACTTAGCCCTTCGTTGCATCTTATTCACTTAGATGATGAGTCGAAATCCTCTGTTGAGCATCAACGTAGGTTGAATCCGACGATGAAAGAGGTAGTTAGGAAAGAGGTGATGAAGCTGTTAGATGCGGGTATTATATACCCTATTTCTGATAATACGTGGGTGAGTCCTGTGCAGGTTGTACCCAAGAAGGGAGGCATGACCGTGATCCAGAACGAGAAGAACGAGCTTATTCCTACACGGACGGTCACGGGATGGAGGATGTGCGACTACCGTAATTTGAACTCCAACACCCGTAAGGATCACTTTCCTTTGCCTTTTATTGATCAGATGTTAGAGAGACTTGCACTCCACTCGTACTTTTGCTTTCTAGACGGTTACTCGGGATTCTTCCAGATCCCCATTCACCCGAACGACCAGGAGAAGACCACCTTTACTTGTCCTTATGGCACGTTTGCTTATCGTCGTATGCCCTTTGGATTATGTAATGCACCTTCCACTTTTCAGAGATGCATGACTGCTATATTTTCTGATGTGATTGAGGATATTATGGAGGTGTTCATGGACGATTTCTCTGTCCATGGACCCTCATTTAACGTTTGTTTTGCCAATTTGCATCGAGTTTTAGACAGGTGTGCAGCGGTCAACTTAGTCCTCAACTGGGAGAAGTGTCACTTCATGGTGCAAGAAGGGATTGTTTTAGGACATAAGGTGTCTTCTAGGGGAATCGAGGTAGACAGAGCGAAGATAGAGGTCATTGAGAAGCTTCCACCACCCGTGAACGTCAAAGGCATCCGCAGTTTTCTAGGACATGCAGGATTTTATCGGCGGTTCATCAAGGACTTCTCCAAGATCTCTAGACCACTTACCGAGCTGTTGGCGAAAGATGTACCATTTCGGTTCACTGCAGAATGCTCGAAGGCCTTCCAGACTTTGAAGGCAGCTCTGATCTCACCACCGATCATACAGCCCCCCGATTGGACTCTACCGTTTGAACTGATGTGCGATGCTAGCGATTATGCGGTTGGAGCAGTGCTGGGGCAGAAGAAGGATCATAAACACCACACCATCTACTATGCAAGTCGGACTCTTGATGATGCGCAGGTAAATTACACTACTACTGAGAAAGAGTTACTTGCTGTGGTGTTTGCTTTTGAGAAGTTCAGGTCGTACTTGGTGGGACGGAAAGTGATCGTATACTTGATGATGCGCAGGTAAATTACACTACTACTGAGAAAGAGTTACTTGCTGTGGTGTTTGCTTTTGAGAAGTTCAGGTCGTACTTGGTGGGGCGGAAGGTAATCGTATACTCAGACCACGCGGCTTTGAAGTACTTGCTGACAAAGGAAGACGCCAAACCTCGACTGATTCGATGGATGCTACTCATACAAGTTTGACGTCGAGATTCGGGATCGCAAAGGCACGGAGAACACAGTTGCAGACCACCTTTCACGCCTTGCGATACCCGATCCTCTCCCAATCGATGATTCTTTGCGAGAGGAAAAAATTATGGCAGTCACTACCCGACACGAAGACCCATGGTACGCAGACTACGTGAACTATCTGGTCTCTCAAGTGATCCCGTCCGAACTTAACTATAATGGAAGGAAGAAGTTCCTCCATGACGTACGGGATTATTTTTGGGACGATCCGTTCTTGTTCAAGCGTGGTACCGATGGGATGTTCAGACGATGTATTCCCGAGGAAGAAGTGCAACAGGTAATTTTCCATTGCCACTCTTCTGATTATGCAGGTCATTTCGCCGCTTCGAAGACCGCAACGAAGATTCTACAAGCGGGATTCTATTGGCCTACGATGTTCAAGGATGTCCATAGGTATGTCGCCTCATGTGATTCTTGCCAGCGCACAGGTAACATTTCTAGACGCCATGAGACGCCTCAGAATTATATTCTAGAAGTGGAACCTTTTGATGTTTGAGGCATAGACTTTATGGGACCTTTTCCATCGTCGATGCTAAGACTGTGGTTAGGCTATTTAGACAGATTATTTTTCCACGTTTTGGTGTTCCTCGTGTTGTGATTAGCGATGGCGGTGCACACTTTGTCAACCGGATCATCGAGACACTACTGAAAAAGTACGGGGTTCATCATCGGATTGCTACTCAGTATCATCCTCAGACTAGTGGACAGGTGGAGATTTCTAACCGGGAGATCAAGTCCATTCTGGAGAAGACTGTCGCTAAATCACGGAAGGATTGGTCACAAAGGCTAGACGATGCGGTATGGGCTTACCGAACGGCTTTCAAAATGCCGATTGGTATGACTCCGTTCCAATTAGTCTATGGCAAAGCATGTCATCTACCGGTTGAGCTCGAACACAAAGCGTATTGGGCAATCAAGGCGTTCAACTATGACATGAAGACCGCTGCAGAGAAACGTGAGCTCCAACTTCACCATCTCGAAGAAATCAGACTTGCGTATGAGAACGCGAAAATCTACAAGGAGAGAGCGAAGAAATGGCACGATCGACACATCATTCCGCGAACATTCCAGTCAGGTGATCTTGTCCTTCTCTTCAACTCTCGTTTGCGATTGTTTCCAAGTAAGCTGAAGTCTAAGTGGTCTGGTCCATTCAAGATCCATCGAGTTTACGACCACGGCGCAATTGAGCTGTATAACGGCACGGGTGGTACGTTCAAGGTAAATGCACAGCGTCTGAAGCTGTATAACCCGGCCGACCCTGCAGGTGAGAGAGGCGTT